TACTCTTTTGTGGCTCCTTTTCTTTCCCTCTCTCTTTTGCTTGCAGGTGCGCACGTTGGATCACCTGGAGAGGGCGCGCAGGAAGGAGGAGAAACCCCTCCTGGAGGCGGCGTATCAGCAGAGGCTGGTGGAGGAGCGGTCGTGGTTGGAGCAGCAGAAGGCGTATGCTGGGTGGGGCTAATCTCCTCCGTCCCTTTCCCATCCCCCTCACCTTCCCATTCCCCGCTCCCCCCCAGGTGCGCACGTTGGATCACCTGGAGCGAGCTCGCAGGGAGGAGGAGAAACCCCTGCTGGAGGCGGCGTATCAGCAGCGGCTGGTGGAGGAGCGGGCGTGGTTCGAGCAGCAGCAGGCGGAGGCAGCAGCGCAGAGCAAGACGCAGCACGAGCAGGACCTGGCTGAGAAGATCCGGCTGTCGCGCATGCTGGTGGATAAGGTATGTGAAGGTAGTGGGGAAGGGGGACGGGAAACAGGGGACGGGGGAGGGGGGGTTGCAAAGGGGGAATGGGGAAGTGGGAGGGAAGGGCAAGATGCAGCACGAGCTGGACCTGGCTGAGAAGATCCGGCTGTCCCGCATGCTGGTGGATAAGGTAGGGGAAGGGAGGGGGACGGTGGATGGGGGATTGGGGAGGGCAAAGGGGGAACGAGGAAGTGGGAGGGAAGAGCAAGACGCAGCACGAGCAGGACCTCGCTGAGAAAATTCGGCTGTCCCGCATGCTTGTGGATAAGGTAGGCTAGGGGATGGAAGGGGGTCGGGGTACGGTTGAGTCTGAACGGGAGAGGGGAAGTGGGAGGGAAGGGCAAGACGCAGCACGAGCTGGACCTGGCTGAGAAGATCCGGCTGTCCCGCATGCTGGGGGTTAAGGTGAGAAGGTGGGATATCTGTAGTTGGAACTTCGAGATCTCTCAAAGCAGGACCTGGCTGAGAACACCCCGCCTCTCCCGCATGCTGATGGATAAGGTAGGAAATGAAAGGTGGGGAGGAAGGGGGAGTATTGCAAATGGGGGGTAGGATCTTGTGTGTGAGCAGGAGGAGGTACAGGAGCAGGTGGTGGGGAGGCGGTGCAGCGAGTTTGGGAGGCTGAAGAGGGAGAGGGAGGAGAAACTGGCAGAGCGGAGGGAGCTGCCAGGGCAGAGGAAGCTGATGTTAAGAGGGCGGGGAAGTAGCATCTGAAGACATTTGATCGTCCCCCTCAACCCTTGCCTAACGGCTCTGCCTCACAGGAGGAGTTCCAGAACAGCTGGTGGGGCGACGGGGCTGCGAGTTTGAGAGGTTGAAACGAGAGAGGGAGTCGAAATCTTTCGACCTCACAAATCTTACACCTCTATCATATTCACCTCGTTATTCTACAGGAGGAGTTCCAGGAGCAGGTGGTGGGGCGGCGCCGCGGCGAGTTTGAGCGGCTGAAGAGGGAGAGGGAGGAGAAGCTGGCGGAGCTGAAGGAGCTGAGGCGCACGGAGAGGGTGATGCTGCGCAAGAGGGAGATGTTCCGCCGCCAGGAGGAGGCCAAGGTGCTCAAGGCCTGGGAGGAGACGGAGAGGCGCAAGCGGGAAGGTGCGTGGTGGTTCTCTCTCTCTCTCTCTCTCTCTCTCTCTCTCTCTCTCTCTCTCTCTCTCTCTCTCTCTCTCTCTCTCTCTCTCTCTCTCTCTCTCTTCTCTTGTCCCTCCCCTCTCCATCCGGTTCCCATCCCCTCCCGATCCCTTCCCCGTTCCCACCCCATCCCCTCCCTGTCCCCTCTCCATCTCCTTTCCATCCACTCCATAACCCCTCACTCCATTCCATCCCCTCCGTGACCACTCACTCCTTTCCATGCATTTCCTCTGCATCCTCCCTTCACCCCTACCCACCAGAGGTGGAGCGCAAGCGCAAGGAGGAGGAGGAGCGGCTGAAGAAGCTCGAAGAGATGACAGCGAAGCAGCGGCAGAGGGAGCAGGAGGCCAAGGAGAAAGTGTTTAAGGAGCGGGAGGAGGGCTCCTTCAAACCCCACTCATTTCCTTCCATGCATTCCTTTTTCCGTCTGCGTTCTCTCTCCATTCCCTCCGCATCTCCCTGCATACTCTCTTCATTGAACCCACCAGAGCTGGAGCGCAAGCGCAAGGAGGAGGAGGAGCGGCTGAAGAAGCTCGAAGAGATGGCAGCGAAGCAGCGGCAGAGGGAGCAGGAGGCGGAGGAGAAAGCGCGCAAGGAGCGGGAGGACGTTCTTGCTGCTGCCGCCGAACGCAAGACCTCCACCTTCGTCCCGCCGGCACTCCGCGCCGCCCGCGGTGGAGGCTCGGCAGCCGCCGGGTCTGCCGGCGAGGCTCCGCCGTCCGGACGTGCAGGCGCGGAGGAGGATCGGTGGTCCAGGGACAGGGCTCCTGCTGCTGGTGCTGCTGCTGCTGGGGCGCCTGGGAAATACGTTCCGCCTGTTAGGGGTAGTGCTGGTGCCGCAGGGACAGGTGGGTCAGGAGACGGGGGGAGGTGGGGGGGAGACCGCGGGAGGGAGGTTGAAGACAGGAGGCCAGCAGGAAGGTACGAGCCTCCTTCTCGTAGCGCTGCTGCTTCGGGTGGTGCCGGTGAGAGGGAGCGGGAGAGGCCGAGTGCCCCTGCAGCAGCTGCAGCAGCAGCGCCAGCAGCAGCAGCAGCAGAAGCAGTGCCGGCGGCGGGTGCACCCAAGAAGTGGGTTCCCCCTCACCTTAGGAACCGCGGGTGAAATGGTTGAGAAGAGAGTTGCAGCTGGTGGAATGGTGGAGAGGAGCTCGGGCCGGTTGAGACTGGTAGAGAGGCGATTTGCTGGTTGCCAGGTGATGCGGTTGAGAGGATAACTGTTTCCGTGTTTTTCTGAGTGTAAACATCGAAAGCAAAGCCATGCTGAACAACGCTATGATTTTTTCTCTCCTAGCACTCCGAGTCTTATACCTCCGTATGCTTGTGCACTTTCCTGGTGTTTTTCTAGACTGAGTGTTTTCACTTGTTTCTATCCCTTACAGTTTGTAACATTCTTTAGTAATGCTCATCTGCACATCTTGAACAGACGTTTACCTCGTTGATAGGTGACTAAAGAATCTGAATCAATAACAACAATAACGAATTCATCTCAAGAGGGTTCAGCAAATCAGGGTTCGACAACAGCCTTCACCATCTCCTCTTTTGTCACCCCATCCCTCCCCGATCCCGAGCCTTCCTCTCCATGCCACCGCTCCTTCGCCAGCAACGCGCCTCGGCTGTCCGCGTCGAACGCTTCGATCAAATCCAGAACCTCCTTGGCCGTGCGACCCGCCATCACGATGCTGCGATTCGTCGCGTTCACGAACCCTTCCTGCGCGGCGCGGTCGAAGAAGGCGAGCAGCGAGTCGAAGTAGCCATTGGCGTTGAGCACGGCGATCGGCTTGTCGTGAATGCCGAGCTGCGACCAGGTCACCATCTCTAGAAGCTCCTCTAGCGTGCCGTACCCACCTGCAGAACGCGTATTAAGGTGGAAGGCGGAAGAAGAGAATGTGGAGGAGGAAGTGAGGGCATAGAAGACGGGGATAGAATGGGAGGCGGAGAAGAAAATGCATATTCCCGTAAAAGCCAACCTTCCTAACTTTGAAACTCTTGGACCTCGGGTTTTAAATACTAATGGCGAAGGATAGGGAGCGCGAAGGACGGTGAGAGAAAGTGGAACGCAGTGGTTGAACGACTTGTCAATCTTTGCTGACCTGGCAGAGCGATGAACGCGTCAGCTGCTTTCGCCATCTCCGCCTTTCGTTCGTGCATGTTTCGCACCAAGCGCACCTCGCCAACGGATGGCCCAGATACCTCCAGAGGCACGAGCGCATGGGGAATTACCCCTAGCACATGCCTCCCGTTTTCGTGCACTGTTCGCGCGACTATACCCATCAGGCCTATGCTACCTGACCCATACACTAGATCAAATCCCCGGCCCGCGATTTCCCGGCCGAGCTCCGCTGCCGCTTCGCCATAAACAGGATTGGTGCCGGAGCTCGAGCCGCAATAGATGCAGATTCTCCGGATCTTACTCGGGCCGTCCTCCATAATGCCACTGCCACCGAATGGATCGGAAAATCGCGTCTCACAGGGAAGCGGAAATGCGTATCTGCGACGGTTTTGCTGCTTTCGAGCCGCAGCAATTACGAATCAGTTGAGCTTCTGCTTTTACGGGTTTGCGGAAGAAATCGAGGGCGAGCAGACTAACGATTTTCCTGGAATGAACGGGATGGTTGAGACCTCTCAACAGTGAGGTATAGGAATGAATACGTTCTTTACTTTGGCCCTACAAGGAGGGTATGTATCAACTTCGTTAGAGGGAGCGAGTTGAAACTCACAATCGCGTATACTCCCAAGGAAGAGGAGCTGCTTCTGGGTTTCCAGAATGGTTGAGCTGGCGGAGCTAACTGACATGGAACGTGGTGGTCGCATCCAAGCGTGACGTGGAAAAACTGGTACTTTGTGCGTATTGCAAACGCTTAGCGCTTCCGTGTGAAAAGTCCCATTTGTTTCCTCGCACTTAGCAAGGACCTCACAAACTGGGTGCAGCAACGCCTGGCGGGGACGCAGAAACGCGCGTAAGCAGCAGCACTCAAAGTTTGGTGGCAGGCGCGAAAATGTCTTTCAAAATCAGACTGACAGATCACGTCAATAGCCTGCCTGCATCCCCCCTCACCTCGATTGTATCCCAAATTCCTCCGTCGCCGTCTGACCATTTTCTTCCACTCATGGATTCCATTTTCTGACCATCCCAGAGTTGTTGTGACCTCCTCTTCCTAAAAATCTTTAGGAATTGCACTTGATCTTGTCGCCTCACGCAAGAGGCCCCGCAGGACACGCGAAACGCGCTTATTGCGATGCGCTTCGCATGAATCTGTCATCTGGGTACGAATCCTGAAATCTTGTTCAGTAGTTCTGCATCTTCAGACCGGCTATGCTGTTTGAGCGATTTCTCTCAGACAGACACTTCGTTTAACAAGCGTTTGTGTCTGTCCGCGTTCCCTCCGCGATTCCCTGCCTTGTGCCTCTCAGCTTTCGCAGCCATACCGTCGATCACACCGCTGGTGACAATGGCGGTGTCAGCAGCTCTCTCCACCGCGAGTGTCGCTTCTCAAGAAGGGCTCTTTTCAGCCTCCCAGCTCCGTAGATGCGATTCCGACTGTCGCAGACACCACTGTCTTCAATATAATCCCGCAAGTCCGGCGACGTTAAAACGGTCGTCGAATTTCGCCAGCGGAAGAGCTGGAAGCGACGCGTTGGTCAGGAATGGCAGATGCGTATTCCCCTGTAGAAATCCCGTCTCTTCCGCTGGAACGATCACGAGCCTGGTGTTGGAGAGAGGACGTCTCTCGTCAATTGCCGCGCTTCCAAGTTCGAGCTCGGCCTTCGTAAAGCGCGAGATAGTAAAATCCTCCCCATGGCAGCGAGGATACAGCCGCCGTTCCGCTTTCCACAAACCTTCCAGTTCAAAGCTCCGTTTAAACTCGCGGAAGTGCGTGGTCGCATCAGCTTCTGCGAATCCCGGCGAGGTCGCGAATTCGGGCCAGATTTCGGCAGCAAGAGCGTCCGCGCCAGCGGGGCAGATCCCGCCTCCTCCAGATGCCACCTCCCTGACGGCCCCCGCGTTCGTGGTGTGGGGCGCGAACACAGGCGTGGGGAAGACCCTCGTCTCCGCGGGCCTTGCTGTCGCGCTGCTTGCGCGAGCTGCGCGGGGAGGGGGCGCGGAAGGGGCCGAGGAAGGTAGAGGGAACGCAGCGGATGGGGGAAGGGGCGTGCAGGGGGAAACTGCAGGGAATTGTGGGGAATTCCATTTGGAGTATGTGAAACCACTTCAGACAGGATACCCTGAAGGTGAGCTCATAGTGACTTTTTTCCCTCAAACAATTCGCGTTCCGTCCTCTCACACCCCTGCCCTGAGGAGGATCTCCTTGTGTATATGGAACGAATTTTGAGTCGACTCAAAAATCACCTCGTTCCATCCTCTCACACTTCTGCCTTGAGGATCTCCTTGTGTATATGAACGACTTTCAAAGTGCCTCAGAACGTTTGAAGCGCCTTAAAGTTTCCCTGACTTGCGCGTCTCCCCGTGTGAATGGAACACATGTCCAGATTCGGATGCTCGCCTGGTGATGCTGGCTGCTGCACACTGCGCTGGCAGCGGCAGCAGCGGCAGTGAGATCAGCGCAACAGCCACCACCACCGGCAACAATACTACCAGCAGCAACAGCAACAGCACCACCAGCAGTGATGATAGTGCGGGCAGCACAATTGCATCCCATTCTCCATCCTTGCACTTCACCCTTCATTCCCCTAACTACTCTGACGCCCCCTCCACTCACACCATCTCCTCTCACTCTCCCTCGCCCTCTGCAGTGGCACAATCCCCTGCCCATAATCACCCCTCGTTACAGTCACCTACCCCCACAGTGTCGCTCACCTGCTCCACCCTCTGGGCTTGGAAGGACCCTGTTTCTCCCCACCTGGCTGCCCGGGAAAGCCGGGCAGCTGTGCTGAAAGTTCCAGTGAGAGGAGAGGGAGAGGGAGAGGGAGAGGGAGAGGGAGAGGGAGAGGGAGCGGAGGCAGGGGAGGAAGGAGGGGACGGGATGGGGGAGGAGGCGGCAGATGCTGCTGTGGTGGACGCTCTTAGATCGTATGTTAGCTGCAGTAGGAGCAGCAGCAGCGACAGCAGTAGCGTCAGCAGCGGCAGCTGCACCAGTATCAGCAGCAGCAGTGGTAAATGGGTATTGATCGAGACAGCAGGGGGCGTGGCAAGCCCTGGGCCCTCGGGAACCCTGCAGGCAGATTTGTACAGGTGGGTAGGAGATGTTTTGTTCACTTCTTCTTTACATCATCTCCATCACCATGTAGTGTAGTCTAGATCTAGTGGGGAAGCGTAGCCAGAGTGGAAACCTGTTCCTGGTAATCCGTCTTCCCTGTCCTGTCCTGTCCTGTCCTGTCCTGTCCTGTCCTGTCCTGTCCTGTCCTGTCCTGTCCTGTCCTGTCCTGTCCTTTATGGAAGCCCTGCACTCCATATTCATGTCCAGCCATCAGCAGTCTTCCATCGTTCTCCAACCCTTGCTCCCAACTGCTTTTTCCCCTCATCCCCCTCCTATATCCCCTCATCACGCCAATACTTTCTCCTCATCTCTCCCCTTTTTTTTTCCTAACTTTCTGTCCTTCTTCCCATCCCTTCCCTCTTTCCCCCATTGCTCCATTCTTTTCCTCCATCCGCCCCCTCCTTCCGCGCTAGACCCCTGCGCCTGCCTTGTATTCTAGTGGGAGATGGGCGACTGGGTGGCATCTCGGTCACTGTAGCAGCGGTGGACAGCCTGGCAGGGCGGGGGTATGACGTGGCAGCAGTGGTGGTGTGTGGGGACGAGGAGGGGCGTCTGGATAACGCAGATTACCTAAAGACATATTTGAGACTGAGAGGGTGAGTGGATGAAAGAGGGGAGGTAGGGATAGCTGGTGGGTGGCCGTCAAAGAAGTGGGAGGGTGGAAGTTCAAGTCGACATTCTCATGATCCCTCCTTCCCTCTTTTCCGCCTTTCTCCGCTTCCGCCCACTCTCTCATCCCGTTCCAGGATCCCAGTCATCTCCTTGCCTGCTCTCCCATCCTTACCACCACCAGTGTCTGACCCGAGTTCACCCTCCTCCTCCTCCTCCTCCTCCTCCTCCTCCTCCTCCTCCTCCTCCTCCTCCTCCTCCTCCTCCTCCTCCTTCTCCTCCCCCTCTCTCACCTCCTCTCCTTCCTCAAGCCCCTCTACCGCTTTCCAATCCTCCTCTTACTCCACTCTCAACCCGAACCTCATCGACTGGCTCGGCAAATCAGAACGAAGCTTCCAGGAACTTGTGCTAACTCTGGAGCAGTACCACCGGGAGAGGTTGCGAGCACTTGAACGGGCAGCTGAACGGGCACATGCAATTCTCTGGTGGCCGTTCACCCAGCATGGCATGGTGGGAGTGAAAGACGTGACAGTCATCGATTCTCGGGCAGGCGAAAACTTCTCCGTCTTCCGACCAAAGCAGACCGAGCTTCAAATTGAAACACAGCCTGACACCCCCACCGGGGCTCCGCACGGCAGTCAGCGTGAAAACCTGTCGGAGGCTCGGGCCGAGCCTCGGAGGGAGTTTCGGGAAGAGGCTCGGTTGGAGGAGTGGTTTGATGGGTGTGCGAGCTGGTGGACCCAGGGGCTGGGCCCTGTGCTGCAGGGGGAGCTATCGAGGGAGATAGGGGCGGCCATGGCCCGATACGGGCATGTGATGTTCCCTGAGAATGCCCATGCTCTGGCTTTGGAGGCTTCTGAACTGCTGCTGAAGGGCGTTGGGAAAGGTACGACAGGTTTGGGAATGGTGAGAAGTGGTTGAAAGTGGTATGCAGTAGGGTGACAAGGGGGCGGCTATGGCTCAATACGGGCATGTGATGTGTTCTGAGAACGCCCATGCTCTGGCTCTTGAGGCTGCTGAAGGGCGTTGGGAGAGGTAGGAAGGGGTTGGAAACGGTTTGCAAGGGATATTTGATGGGTATGTGAGCTGCTGGACAAAGGAATATCGTCAAGCAATTATATATCGCCTGTTAGAGAAAATGGCCTCTCAACTATCCAATACCAACCCCTTGCACCCCCCTGAACCCCCTTTCACTTCCTTCCACCGCACTCCACCGCACAGGACGGGCCTCGCGGGTGTTCTTCTCAGACAACGGATCCACAGCCATTTAGGTGGCGCTCAAGATGAAAGGACACGTCTCAACATTCCAATTCCACCCCCTTGCTCCCCATCTCACCTCACACCACCCCACTCCACCGCACAGGGTGGGCCTCCCGAGTGTTCTTCTCAGACAATGGCTCCACAGCCATTGAGGTGGCTCTCAAGATGGCCTTCCGCTCCTTCTGTGCTCGCAATGCCGTCGGACCCGATGGTCTTCCAGATCTTAAGGTGATAACAGTAGTGTTTTGAGGCATCTCAAAACAAGATGGCCTTCCGCTCCTGCGCTCGCAATGCCGTCAAACCAGATAGTCTTCCCGATCTTAAGGTGCGTTCCATTGAGGTGGCTTCCCATGCTGAGTGCTTATCACTTTCCAGGTGCTTCCCATGCTGTGTCACCATGTGCCATGCTGTGTCACCATGTGCCATGCTGTGTCACCATGTGCCATGCTGTGTCACCATGTGCCATGCTGTGTCACCATGTGCCATGCTGTGTCACCATGTGCCATGCTGTGTCACCATGTGCCATGCTGTGTCACCATGTGCCATGCTGTGTCACCATGTGCCATGCTGTGTCACCATGTACCATGCTGTGTCACCATGTGCCATGCTGTGTCACCATGTGCCATGCTGTGTCACCATGTGCCATGCTGTGTCACCATGTGCCATGCTGTGTCACCATGTGCCATGCTGTGTCACCATGTGCCATGCTGTGTCACCATGTGCCATGCTGTGTCACCATGTGCCATGCTGTGTCACCATGTGCCATGCTGTGTCACCATGTGCCATGCTGTGTCACCATGTGCCATGCTGTGTCACCATGTGCCATGCTGTGTCACCATGTGCCATGCTGTGTCACCATGTGCCATGCTGTGTCACCATGTGCCATGCTGTGTCACCATGTGCCATGCTGTGTCACCATGTGCCATGCTGTGTCACCATGTGCCATGCTGTGTCACCATGTGCCATGCTGTGTCACCATGTGCCATGCTGTGTCACCATGTGCCATGCTGTGTCACCATGTGCCATGCTGTGTCACCATGTGCCATGCTGTGTCACCATGTGCCATGCTGTGTCACCATGTGCCATGCTGTGTCACCATGTGCCATGCTGTGTCACCATGTGCCATGCTGTGTCACCATGTGCCATGCTGTGTCACCATGTGCCATGCTGTGTCACCATGTGCCATGCTGTGTCACCATGTGCCATGCTGTGTCACCATGTGCCATGCTGTGTCACCATGTGCCATGCTGTGTCACCATGTGCCATGCTGTGTCACCATGTGCCATGCTGTGTCACCATGTGCCATGCTGTGTCACCATGTGCCATGCTGTGTCACCATGTGCCATGCTGTGTCACCATGTGCCATGCTGTGTCACCATGTGCCATGCTGTGTCACCATGTGCCATGCTGTGTCACCATGTGCCATGCTGTGTCACCATGTGCCATGCTGTGTCACCATGTGCCATGCTGTGTCACCATGTGCCATGCTGTGTCACCATGTGCCATGCTGTGTCACCATGTGCCATGCTGTGTCACCATGTGCCATGCTGTGTCACCATGTGCCATTCATGCTATCATGACGTGTTACCCCAAGCCCGTGTCTCGTCTCTTCTAGTAGAGCTTTAATTATCGTAGCACTTTCTATTCCTTCTTTGTCATGCCACGTGTCACCAGGTGATTGCTCTGACTGGCTCGTACCATGGTGACACGCTGGCAGCCATGCATGCCCAGTCGCCCTCCCCATACACCTCCTTCCAGCAGCAGCCATGGTGAGGGATTGCCACGTCAGCAGTTGAAATGTGTGCCATGTCATGAACCAACATGAACGGTAGGCTAATTGCCCCTTGTTTTATCTTTTGGCTTTCCATCATGGCATCGGTTAATTATGCTTCTAACACAGGGATAGTTTCTCTACCCGATTCCCTGACTCGTGCTAGACAAAATCACAAACCAAAAAAATGTACTTTGTTTCTCCCATGTCACACCCCACAGGTACGGAGGCAAGGGCGTGTTCCTTGACCCGCCAACAGTGGAGTACTCCCAGGGTCAATGGCTCGTTGTCCTGCCCCCTGCCCTCTCTTCCTCCTCCACCACCCCTCCCACCACCCACCTCTCCTTTCAATCACGCGCAGCAGTCTTCGACAAGGAAAGGGACTCCTCCCCTCTCGCCCCCCTCTATCATGACTACATCCAACAACAGCTTCAGCCCTTCCTCCTACCCTCAGACTCCTCCTCAGGTGTTCCTTCAGGCGGTTTTTCAGGTGCCATGGCCGCTGCGCTCATTATCGAACCAGGTGTGTATGCAGTTTCCAACCCTATCTACCTGCCAGCATCCCTTCACCTTCTGTCTCACCTCTTTCTCTTCTAAATTTCTCGTCACCACTGTCGAAAGAAGCACCTGAAGAAACACCTGAAAGTACCTGAAAAAAGAACTCCCTTCTTGTCCAGTTTCACCTGTCCACTGCATACAGTGCAAAACGAATCGGACAGCACAGTAGCAATCCATGCTTTTATCGATTCGTTTTACACTGTATGCAGTGTCCATGCTTCGTTCGACCTGGTGTTTCAGCGCTCGCTCGTCTCTTGAAGCACCTCAGAAGATTCACCGCCTTCCCCCTCATCCCCTCCTCCCTGTACATGCATTCTCGTACTGCCACAGTGCTGCACGGGGCGGGCAGCATGGTCATGATCGACCCTCTCTTCCAGCGCTCGCTCATCTCTTAAGGAGCTTTAGAACCCATCCCATCCTTCCCCATTCCATTCCCCCGTCCCTTGCTGTCCCCACACTCCCGCAGTGCTGCACAGGGCGGGTGGCATGGCGATGATCGATCCGCTCTTCCAGCGCACGCTCGTCTCCTCCTCGTTTCCCAACCTTCCCCTTTCCCTTCCCCGCGTACCCCCTCCCCTGTATTCTCGTACTGCCTGCCACAGTGCTGCACGGGGCGGGCGGCATGGTCATGATCGACCCGCTCTTCCAGCGCTCGCTCGTCTCCTTCTGCCGCGCCCACGCCATCCCAGTCATCTTTGACGAAGTGTTTGCAGGCTGCTGGCGCCTCGGCCACCAGGTAGGACCAGGCCAGGTGGCTTTGAGTGGGGCCCTCCCAGGTGGGCTTGCAGCGCCTGTGTGTTGTCTCTAATGGTGCTGTGAGGTGGAGGAGGGTGGCACGTGTGTCTCCTTCTGCCGCGCCCACGCCATCCCAGTCATCTTTGACGAATTGTTTGCCGGCTGCTGGTGCTTCGGGCTCCACGTGGGCTTTAAGTGGGGGCTTCTGGGTGGGTCCAAGCCAGGTGGAAAACACCCAGGTGGGAATTGAGAAGGACCCACCTCGAAATTTCATTGGTCACAGAGGGCTCACAGGTGTTATTTTCATTGCTCACAGAGGGCTCACAGGTGTTATTTTCATTGCTCACAGAGGGCTCACAGGTGTTATTTTCATTGCTCACAGAGGGCTCACAGGTGTTATTTTCATTGCTCACAGAGGGCTCACAGGTGTTATTTTCATTGCTCACAGAGGGCTCACAGGTGTTATTTTCATTGCTCACAGAGGGCTCACAGGTGTTATTTTCATTGCTCACAGAGGGCTCACAGGTGTTATTTTCATTGCTCACAGAGGGCTCACAGGTGTTATTTTCATTGCTCACAGAGGGCTCACAGGTGTTATTTTCATTGCTCACAGAGGGCTCACAGGTGTTACTTACAATGCTGCCTCCCTCGTTTCTCCAACCTGCCCCTCACCTGACCCCAAAGATGTGCTTCATGTCTGAACTGAAGCCAATGACCCTTTTCCTTCCCACTCTCACCCCCTATTCCCCTTCTCCCTCTCTCTTTCCCCTTCTCCCTCTCCCTTCCCTCCCCTCTTCTCCCTTTCAACCCCCTCCCCCCTCCTCCCCCCTCCTCCCATCTCCCTCCCGCCCCTTCTACCTCTTCTCCCAGTCAGCAGCAGAGCTGCTGGGCTGTTCCCCGGACATTGCCTGCTACGCCAAGCTGCTGACAGGTGGCATGATCCCATTGGCCGTCACGCTCGCCTCATCCTCTGTCTTTGATGCCTTCTATGGCTCCTCCAAGGTATTTTCTAAACGAGGCTGCTTATAACTAGAGATTTTCTGTCCAAGCGAGTCTGTTCTACACTGGATAATAGTTTGTTTTTTTTCCCGCCATCCCATCCCGTCTCCTTCATACTCTGTACACTTGACCGCCGTTTTCATATGTTCTCAAACAAATCTACCTTTCATTCCCTTTCAGTTGCGTGCTCTGCTCCTCCGTCAAGCGATCTGGCTGTTAGTCTCTCAAACTCTTCATTTTCCTCCCTTTCTCTCTCTGCTCTCCTGCCTTTCCTCTCCCGTCTTCATCCCAGCTTGATGCTCTCTTGCATGGTCACTCCTACACAGCCCATCCTGCTGGCTGTGCAGCGGCCTGTGTTTCTCTTAAGGCGCTGTCAGACCCAGCTCGAAACCCTAACCTGCTTCCTGACGGCTCTCAGCTAAAAGAGGTACTTACCCCTTTTTTTCTTTTTGGTGACTCAAACAAAGCGGCTGGCGTTTTCAGACCCAGCTCGCAATCCCAAATTCCTTCTGGACGGCTCTCAGCTAAAAGAGGTGCTTAGCCCCTACGATGCCCTGTCCTTCAAGCAATGTACTTAGCACGTTGCGCGGTTCACTGCCCCAAGCAAACCTTGTACATGTTGGCATCATAAGATTGTACTGAATCCGTTCTTGGACAGACTACAATGGTATTTTCTCCACATGCCTACATGATTTTTTAGAGGTCTCAAACAATCTGTTCTTAGGCTGACTGCAATCCATCCCAACGCACCTACGAATCCTGATGTGCCCAGTTGGAACTGGGCGTTTTGCAAGCGAGCTGACTTTTGAGTCGACTCAAAAGCCAGCTCGTTTTGCGGACCACCCAACCTTCTGTGTCTCTGTCATCCTCTCTCCCATTCCCTCTAGCGATTGTGGGACGCCTCACTCATGGAGCAGGTCTTCTGTGACCCCTCAATACAACATGTGCTGGCTATAGGAAGCTCAACCAGGCACCGTTCTGTCTCTGCTCCCCTTTCACCCATATGGCCTCTCTCTCCCACATTCCCTCTCTCTCCCACATTCCCTCTCTCTCCCACATTCCCTCTCTCCCACATTCCCTCTCTCCCACATTCCCTCTCTCCCACGTTCCCTCTCTCTCACACCGCCCTGCAGTTGTGGGACCCCTCATTAGTGGAACAAATCTCCTGCGACCCCTTGATACAGCGTGTGCTGGCGATAGGAACAGTTTTTGTGGCAGAGCTCAGGACTGATGGCGCAGGGTGAGTGGTTCTGGGAATGCTTGTGCCCCAGTTGAGACCTCTCAAAAGAGCCCCGTTAATAGGAACAGTCATTGTGTGTGGCAGAGCTCAATACTGTCAGCGCAGAGTGAGTGCGTTGGGCTGTTCTGATACTGGTGGGATGCTGGTCAACAGTATTATGCAGTGGGTTGTGAGTCGACTCAAAAGTCTGTTCTGGGACTGGTGGGATGTTGGTCAACGGTATTATGCGGTGGGTGACATACACTCACTTTAAGTTTTTCTTCATTCCAACTCACTCGTCCCCTCCACTCTCCCTTCGCGCCCCACCACAGGTATGACTCATCAGCAGCCAAGTGTCTCCTGTCACAGCCTCGGCAGGTTTTTTAGAATTCTCAGAAAGCAGGGGTCTCCTGTCACGGCCTCAGTGGCACGGCATGTACACACGGCCACTAGGCAATGCCCTAACACAGTCGCTCTCACTCCCTTCTCTCCCTCACTCCCTTCTCTCCCTCACTCCCTTCTCTCCTCACACAGCTACGGGTCGTCAGCAGCGAAGGGGCACTTATCACGGCTGCGGCAGCACGGCATATATGCACGGCCACTGTACTCGTTCCCTCTGCTCTCCCTTCGCTCTCCCCACGGCTACGGGTCATCAGCGGCCAAGGGTCTCCTGTCACAACTGAGGCAGCACGGCATATACGCGCGGCCGCTGGGGAACGTGGTGTATTCAGCTTCATTTATTCCTTGTTCCTATCTTACTCGTGCTCTCTGCCCTCCCTCCACTCTCCCCCCACAGCTACGGCTCATCAGCAGCCAAGGGTCTCCTGTCACGACTGAGGCAGCACGGCATATACGCGCGGCCACTGGGGAACGTGGTGTATTTCATGTGTGGGCCCTTCACGCCCCCCTCCACCTGCACCCGCTTACTGCGTTTTTTGCTAGCACAGCTTGATTAGAAGCACACATGGTGTGTAGCATTGCATGCAGCCAGGGGCTCCTCCAATACAAACGCTTTGCAATGTGGTGTATTTCATGTGTGCGCCATTCATGCCCCCCTCCACCTGCACTCGCTTACTGCGCATTCTGCTAGCGCTGCTTGATAAGAAGCACACATGCTGTGTAGCATTGCAACCAGGGGGGCCCTCCAGAACCGCCATTCACTAGGCAACGTGGTGTACTTCATGCATGGGCCTTTCACGCCCCCCTCCACATGCACCCGCTTACTGTGCATTCTGCTAGCCCTGCTTGATTGAAAGCGCAAGTGCTGTAACTTTGCGGTCAAGGCACGTGTCACGGCCACTGGGCGACACGTGTCACGGTGAGTTCTCTTCTGACTTCCTTGCGGAGTTCTGTCGAGACGAGGGCATCGTCCAGTCGTTCACGCATCCGGCTTCTCCTCAGCAAAATGGGATTGCTGTGCGTCGCATTGGCTTGATCATGGAGGTTGCTCGTACCTCCATGATCCATGCGACTGCTCCCCATTTTCTGTGGCCATTTGCGATCCGATACGCTGCGCATCAGCTCAACCTCTAGTCACGTGTCTCTGAGCCAGAGTCCTCACCCACACTCCGGTGGACGGGGAAGGTTGGCGATGCGTCGGTGTTTCGGGTCTGGGGCGCGCTCTCCCTTGTTCGCGATGCCAAAGCGAGCAAGCTCTCCTCTCGCACTCTCCGCTGCGTCTTCCTTGGCTTCCCCACCGACGCCCCGCACGCGTCCCACCCAGTCCCCCTAGCATCTCTTTTCTTGGTACCAGTCCCCCCCCCGGTAGACCCCCTCCCCCCACAGGGTCCTGCTCCCTCAGGTGTGTCTCAGGTAGACCCACCCCCCTTGGTTGAGCCTTTGGAGATATTTTCTGACTCCTCTGGCCCAGCTGAGGGGGGTGACCCCGCCGCTGACGACACGGCGGCCACTCGCCGCTCTCCACGCTTGGAGACCCCCCCTAGTTTTCCGCCTCGGCCGTCTTCGCCGCCTCCGCAGCCTGCTGCTGTGGACTCTGGAGCTGACACTGCTAATGCTGAGTCTGGGGGTGCTGAGACAGATGGTGCGGGTTCTGGGGGTGTTGCGATTGGGGGTGCTGGTTCTGGGGGTGCTGACTCTGGGGGTCCTGCGAAACCTAGTGGTGGTGGAGCTGTGGATGACCCTGCTGGAGGTCCTGGAGCTGGACAGCCACCGCAGCCTGACCTACTTGAGTCGCTCTCGCCGCAGGCGATTCGTGCGTGGATCGTTCGGCGAGGCAGTCCTGGTGGTGGAGGGTACGGTCCTGCTGGTGCTGGAGCTGCTAGTCCTGGAGGTATTGCTGGTGCTGGAGGTACTAGAGGTACTGCTGGAGGTGCTGGAGGTGCCGGAGCTACTAGTCCTAGAGGTGATACTGGTGCTGGAGGTACAGGACCTACTAGTCCTAGAGGTACAGCTGGTGCTGGAGGTGCTGCAGGTGCTGGAGCTGCTGGTCCTAGAGGTGCTCGTACTTGAGGTGCTGGAGCTGCCGGAGCTAGTGGTGCTGTTCGTGCTGGAGGTGCTACTGGAGCTGCTGACAATGGAGGTATTGGAGGTACTGCTGGTGCTGGAGGTGCTGGAGCTGCCGGAGCAGGTGGTACTACTGGTGCTGGAGGTGCTGGAGGTACTACTGGTGCTGCTGGCACTGGAGGTGCTGGAGGTACTGCTGGTGCTGGAGGCGCTGGAGCTGGAGGTACTGGAGGTACTAGAGGTACTAGGGCTGGCGGAGCAGGTGGTGCTGCTGGTGCTGGAGGTGCTACTGGAGCTACTGGCACTAGAGGTGCTGGAGGTACTACTGGTGCTAGAGGTCCTGGCGCTGCCGGAGCTAGTGGTGCTGCTGGTGCTGGAGGTGCTGGAGGTGCTGCTGGAGCTGCTGGAGGTGCTGGTGCTGGAGGTGCTGGTGCTGCTGGTGCTCGAGCTGCTGGTACTGCCCTACGCAGACCGTTTTTCTACCCGCATCCGCAGACGTCCCTGTCGCCCCCTGACTCGGTTCTTCGCCAGGTTCTTAGTCTCCCATCTTCCACTAGCCTCCCTCTACCCCTCCTGTGTCCACCGACAGACCAGTCTCAGCCACAGCTAATGCCTGGCTCTCCGCTGCCTGTGCTTGTTCCTCACACTGAGGTGACTGAGTTCCTGACTGAGCGTCGTGAGCCTGAGACTCTTGCTTCCACACCTGTTCGTAGTCGTTGTGTCGCCCGTCCTCGTCCTCCTGCTGTCACAGGCACTCACGGTATGGCACTTCGTCCTTCCTCTGTTCCATAGCATGTTGTCCTACCTGAGCCTCCCGCGTCCTCTCTTCCGCACGTTCCTGACCCTGAGTCCGACCTTGCTCGTGCTGCCAGTCCTACTATCACTTTTCTCCTCGCTACTGTCGTCACTGACTCTGACCTTGAGTCTACTGCAACGTTTGCCCTAGTCACTGAGCTAGTCGACTTTGCAGCTAGCAGTCGTCTCGACTACGTCGCGAATCTTGTCATTGAGTCTGAGTCTGTCTGTCCTCTGTCCGTCGGGGGTGAGCTTGCCCTTGGCAGTGATGTACTTGAGGACAGAAAGTTTGAGCTTGAGTGTCTTGCGGCCACTTTACCTCGTTTCGCATCCATGCTGATTTGCCCTGAGGGAGACCCGGATGCACTTGACATCCCTACCCCGCGCTCTCACGCTGAGGCGATCGCGGGTGAGTACTCCTCTCAGTGGCAGACAGCCATGAACATGAAGATGGCTTCCTTGAAGTCCACAGGCACCTACGTCGACGAGGTTCCTCCTCCTGGGGCGAACATAGTCGATGGCATGTGGATTTTCAGAGTGAAGCGGCCGCCGGGTTCTCCGCCTGCCTTCAAGGCGCATTACGTTGCTCGAGGCTTCAGTCAGCGACAGGGGGTCGACTTCTTCCAGACCTTCCCCCCCACCCCGAAGATGACTACTCTTCGGGTGCTGCTGCACGTTGCAGCACAGCGTGACTACGAGCTGCACTCCCTCGACTTCTCCACAGCTTTCCTGCAGGGCAGCCTTCACGAGGAGATCTGGCTGCGCCGCCCACCCGGCTTCATTGGGTCGTTTCCTGCGGGTACCCAGTGGAGCCTCCGGCGGCCAGTCTACGATCTCCGCCAGGCGCCCCGAGAGTGGCACGACACACTGAGGACGACACTTGCGGCTCTTGGGTTTGCTCCTTCGACTGCTGACTCGTCGCTGTTTCTACGCACCGACACTTTGCTGCCGCCGTTCTACGTTCTTCTGTACGTCGACGACTTGGTTTTTGCTACTGCTGACACAGAGGCGCTGGCCCTAGTGAAGGCGGAGTTGCAGAAGAGACACACCTGCACTGACTTGGGTGAGCTGCGCAGCTATCTTGGCTTGCAGATCACCCGGGACAGAGCACAGCGCACCATCACCCTGACTCAGTCACACATGGTGCACCAAGTCCTTCAGCGCTTCGCCTTCCAGTTTTCCTCGCCACAGCCCACTCCTCTGTCTACCGGCCACTCGCTCTCAGCTCCACCTTCGGACGAGTCCGTAGAGCCGAGTGGTCCGTACCCAGAGCTTGTGGGTTGCTTCATGTATCTGATGACTTGCACGCGACCTGACCTCGCGTACCCTCTCAGCCTTCTGGCTCGCTACGTGGCTCCCGGTAGACACCGAAAGGTGCACTGGGATGCTGCGAAGAGGGTGCTGTGTTACTTGTGCATTACATCGGGCATGGGGCTTGTGCTTGGAGGACGGGGTTCAGTGGTACTCACAGGGCACTCCGACGCTTCTTGGGCCGACGACCAGGCGACTCAGCGGTCGTCACAGGGTTACTCTTTGAGTCTCGGATCTGGTTCTGTCTCGTGGAGGTCCACTCGTTCGTCTTCTGTGCTTGGTTCCAGTTGTGAGGTCAAGATCTACGCTGGGGTCACGGCTACACAGGAGTTACGCTGGCTAGCCTACCTGTTGACCGACTTGGGTGAGCGGCCTCGTTCTCCTCCAGTTCTGTACGTCAACAACAAGGCCATGATTGCCTTGTGTCAGGAGCAGAGACTGGAGCACAGAACGAAGCACATTGTTCTTCGTTACTTCCTCACGCGAGAGCTGGAGCAGCGTGGTCAGCTTCGTCTTGCTTACGTAGTCCCGCGGGCCAACACTGCTGATGTGTTCACCAAGGCCTTGGGTCTGATGATCATCAGCGTTTGTACACTGCTGTTGGGCTTGTGCCCACTCTGCCTCACCTGCTGGTTGCTTGACTTGCTCTTGTTGTACACTGATATGTATTTTTATACCTGCTTGTTTACTCTTGCTAGGTTGTGATCAGTGTACTGCCTTGGTATTATAACTCTGCATATGAACTAGCCTTGTGGCCGCTTGCTTGTGCTCGGATTGTGTGGTGTCCTTGAGATCCACCCCGAGGTTTGTTTTGCTGTGCTCTGTTGTCTTGCTTGACTGGTCTTGTGGCCGTCTTGTTGTCCCCCACTTAGCCTATGGGGGTGTGTCAAAGTACAATCTTACTTGTAGGCTATAGTGGGGCACTCCTTATTGGGTACAACACTTCTATGGTTCGTACTTGTACCCCAACTTTTGCTAATCCAATCATTCCTGCACAGTTCTTTCGACAACGTAGTCCACCGTACTTCATGTGCGGTGCGGGTCATTCACGCCTCCCTCCACCAGCTCCCAATCGCATCCTCGTAGCATTGCTTAATTTACATGTGGAGTAGCATATTGCATCCAAGGGGCTCCTGCTGGTGTATTTGATGCTTCACAGCTGCTGAGCAATGTGGTGTGGTCTCCTCTCCACTCCAGTACATAACTGCATACATGTGGGCCCTTTACCCCCCCTCAAAGCAGTCGTCTTAGCACTGCTAGATCAACACATGTTGTAGCACTGCCACATGCGGTCACTAAAGTCTGCTGCATCATTTCGCCGCCACTTGGTTAACACGCGCTGAAGCGTTGCCACAGGCTGTCATCACCTCTGGGCAATGTGGT